CTTGTCATCTGGTATCCTTCATTGTTCCGGTGGGTCTATATACCTCTTCGGCGAAGTCTATTTATCTATCAAAAAGCATTGGTTATAAATCTTATTACCGCTCGTTACCCCCACCATCGCCGCAAGTCTATGTGGCTTGGGGCCGTTCTTTGTTGCGGGTCTCTCTTTGGAGCAAGCTACACCACTGAGGTTCGTATTCTTCGATTCATATTCTTCGGAATCAAAACATCTAATTGTTTGTTACCGTAGATTTTCCATCTGATTCTTCTTCAAGGTGTAGTCTACGCTATCGGCGGATGTGAGCTCTAGATCTCAAGTTACAGCCTACATCTCAAACGATCTTAGCGCTACTCTATTTGCCGTGCATTTCCTTCATGTCAGAATGGTTCGTCGTACGCAGAGGCATGGCAAACGGAATTCTCCTCGCTGGTATGTACTTGCTGTACGTCTTGGTGCAATTTGGAATCTAAGAATATACAGGTACTTCAGGGGGCGGACTGCTCCTTCCACTAGTGCTCCCCCAAATGATATCCAAGTATGGCACGTCAAAAACGCTCCGTATCCTTGCTGTGGGCATTACGATCCTCCTTTTCCCGCTTCTGCCTTTCGTGAAGGGCCGTCTTCCTCAGACCCGCGCGCGCATTCACGGACCGGCGCCGCGTGGAGCCCCACGCCCACATGATTGGATGAAACACAAGTCGCTCTGGATCTTCCTCGCAGCCAGTACCCTTCAGGGCTTTGCGTATTTTGTTCCTATCATTTATTTGCCCAGTAACACATTTCCTTGCCACCGAATTGCCAGTTTGCTGACAGAAGGTTCCAGCTTTCGCCAACGACCTCCACATTAGCTCCTCCAACTCTGCTGTGACGCTAACAATGTTAAACGGTGCGTTCATTGAAATGAACGTAAATTGCCCTGTTGAGCGCCCCCAAAAATAAGCTGCCTCCGTCGTCGGTCGTCTGTCACTGGGATATCTCTCGGATAAAATCAATCCCTGGCTCTTGGCACTCTCCACTCTTCTTACAACCTCAGCATCAATATTCATTCTCTGGGGGATTCTCTCTCACTCTTTTGCGGGGCTACTGTCTTTCAGCATAGCTTACGGAATTGTCGCGAGTGGTTGGAGCAGTCTATGGACCGGTTTTGTTCGGCCTTTTGCTAGTACGTTTTTTCACGAGCCTATTGTTCAACTTTGAACCACTCCAACGCAGAGGATGACCCCGTCTTGTCGACGACGCTGTATGGCTACCTTCTGCTTTCCCGAGGTATCGGAAATATTGTATCAACTCCCATCTCAGCGAACCTGTACGCCCAGCCTCGAAATGCGACTGGCGTTGTTGAAAGCACTGGGTTTCAAGTTGGGGATGGCCGGTTCCAGCAGATGATTATCTATGTCGGGACATGCTTCGCGGGCGCGGCTGGTGTTTCCGCCTTGGGTTGGGCTTTGGAGGTTCGAAAACCTCGCCAGAATGGTCAGAACTCAGAATGAGGCAGCTGTTGAAAGTTCAGGTTGAACGCTGGAAGGGGGCTCTTTGGCCGATTGAATAAATGACTAAATATGCGACCAAAATGCCTTTTCAATACACCTTTTCGTCACTTGATTCAGTCACCCGGATTCGTTTCAATTTACCAGCAAAGAACCGAAAAAAGTACTCACCAAAGATGGTGAAGATCCCACTCAGGTTGATTAAAAAAAGCACACCAGCGTCGAGCGATCCGATAAGTAAAGCTGTGTTTCGTCTTCCCTATACTGGTGATTCAGGAATTCTGTGTCATGGTAGAAGGAGAGATCAGAATCATCCAAGCGACTTTGGTACATGTCAAGGAATATTTTCAGAACTACCAAATCCCAGCTGACTAAGCTATAAATAAAATGCTTATCTCGATTCATCGATTCACGATCTTTGCCTCCTACCACATTCCCGACTTTTGCTGCCCAACCCACTACCCTCAGTTTTGTATTCGAATAACCTCAGATAGTGGCCATTTGAGTGCATCCCTCAGGAAAGGCACCAGAGAGGGCATTGCTCGTGGCGTCTTCCCTAACACCTCTTTTGTCACTCGAACGTTAACGACTTGGTTAGTACGCTCGCAGCCTATGCAGACCAGTGAAGTACCCGGGCCTTCGGAGCCTACTACTTCGGAGGGACACGGAACCCTTACCCCGAGCTTGAGCAAGGTGCATTCAATCTCAGGCTCGCGAGCAGCGTCGCCCGCCATAGCCGCCGATAACGCGGGGACCCAGCACAACCCGGGCTCGCTGAAGCGCAAGCGCACTGGCGGAGACGAGGACGGCGCGGCAGAGCGGCGTGTGCCGCGGCTCTTCAAGGCGGACTTTGGCTCGGCAGTCGATGACGGTCGGGATGAATCCTCAAGCTCGGACGATGACGGCCTCAGCGTGCGGCTCGGCGGGTTCTTCAAGCGCAGCGCTTCGACGGCCATGCTTGGGGACCTGGGAACTGGTTCTGGATTCGGGGAGGGTGGATTTAAATCCGGATCGGGATTCGCCAGCAGCGGCTCGGGTTCGGATTCCAACAGCAGCGCGAAGCCGGAGTGCAGGAACTGCGGCGCGACGCAGACACCACTGTGGCGTCGGGGCTTGAACAACGAACTTAACTGTAATGCGTGTGGGCTGTATTTCAAGCAGGTGAGTGGACTCATCTTTCTTTTGTTCTGGTTGGGCGTGCTCCTTGCGAGGCTGGCGGACTTTTCTCGTCTCACTTTGCTTGCACCCTCCCTTTATCACACTTGTGCTGATGTCGCTCTTCCTTGCAGCACAACCGATCCCGGCCCGAGATCATGCCCGAAAGGACTCAGAGGAGCAGCAGCGGGATGCACACGGTGACTGTCACTATCAATGGTAGGCCATCCTTCCATCCTTCCTCATTAACAAGGGTCTAACTGAGCGACCCGCAGCTGAATGCTTCAACTGTCAGACCACGACGACGTCGCTCTGGCGTAAGGACGACGAGAAGAATACCGTGTGTAACGCGTGAGTACCTTCCCCTGCCTCTCCTTATCACCAATCTTACGCTTACCATGATAACTGCAGATGCGGCCTATACCACAAGCTCCACGGTTCCGCGCGCCCCATCTCGATGAAGACCGACGTCATCCGCCGGCGCTCGCGGGAGGACAAGCGCGGCAGCGGCGCCTCCTCGTCCGTCTCGCAGACACCCGCCACCAGTTGCCATCCATCTCCTTCGCCGGATGACCACTCGCGGTCCGGGTCGCGCCCGTCCTCCCCGCCCGCACCTGCTTATCATCGGCCGTCCCCCGAGCGGCGCACGATCACCCATTCCAACCACGCATATTACGTTACTGCGGCGCACACCGCCACCCAGTCGATCGCAACCTCGTCGCACTCTTCCTTGCAGCACCAGCCCCCCCGTTCCAAGCCGAAGTCCAAGAAGCCGAAAATCAAGACCAGTAGTAGGGTGAGGGTCACCATCCCCGGTAGTTCGTATTCGCGTTCCTCATCGACAAGGGTTCACCGGCATTGACCAATCTGCAGCGGAATGCTCCAACTGCCAGGCCACGACGTCCCCGATCTGGCGCAGGGACGAGGCGGGCAACACCGTCTGTAATGCGTGAGCACTCTCTTTCTCTCGAGTCTCATTCCCGTGCTCACCATAGCTGCAGATGCGGCCTATATCGTAAGTTCCACGGCACCTCGCGCCCCATAGGGAAGGTCGACAAGACTGTTGATGTCCCCGGTAGGTTGGCTTTGCGTTCCTCGTCGACATCAAACTGACCACGACCGACCCGCAGCGGAGTGCCACAACTGCAAGGCAACGACGACACCGCTGTGGCGCAAAGACGATGACAGCAATCCCCTTTGCAACGCGTATGTTTATTTCACTTATCCATCTATATCTCATCAGGTTTGGGTATGCTCTTCACAACTGCAGATGCGGCCTATTCCAAAAGGTCAATGGTACCGTGCGCCCCATTGCAATGAAGAGGGACATAATCCGCCGCCGCTCGCGGCTGGATAAGCGCCGCAGGGGTGCCTCTCCGTCCCTCTCGCAACCGCCAGCCGCCAGCCACCGCGCGTCGCCCTCTCCCGATTCCCACTTGCCCTCGCGATCACGCCCATCCTCCCCGCCCGCCCCTGCCTCGGATGTCACTGAGCATTCAATTGCAGCTAATGGGAATTCTCATGCGATCCCACGCCTTATCTTTTCGTCTGAGAAAGGCACGTTGAAGCACATTGAAACTTTTTTTTTTCAAAACTCATGGTAAAATTGCCAGGGCCGGGATAGGGTACTGTAAAAGTCGAGACCACGCCACACATGTTACATTCACCGATTATGCCATGTCCAATTCCTCCGTGTATTTTCGCATGTTACCTTCGAACGGCTTCCTACTCGGTATTCCAAGCCGCCCATCCAACCACCGTCTCGTACGAAATGAATGTGATGTCCTTCATTTGCTCCTGATATGTCACTCCATCGTCCACGTATTTCTTCCTTTGACTCGAACCATGGTAGATGATTTTTTGTATGACCGCAAACGCCCAACCGGCTGGTTGAATTCTCTCAAGATCCTCAACAGCGCGGCGCCCGGAATGAGAATAGACGTACATACATGAATTGAAGCCGAAGTGGGATTGTTGAACTTTCTAAATTCCTTTGTCTGGTGGTTCTTAAGATCTCCGCGACGCGTACCGGGTTCCAGACGTTCTTATCATTGACCAATTTCGAGTAGCAGAAGTCCCTGTCAGTATCTCAAGTGACCGCACTGTATAATGCACGATATTTATGTGTTTTGAGGTGACAGTTGCAGATGTTTCGAGCGAACCAGGCCAACTAGGCAGAAAATTGAGACACAATCTGTACATCCATGTGCAAGTGACAGGACTATTTTAGTTCTTGCGCATTGAAATTGAAGCGAAAGAACGGCCAGAACTTGCCATACAGAAGGGCAATGGAAAAGCTGACGGAATCCTGATAGAAATCTCTAAAAAATAATGAATGGGTTGAACAAAAATACATGACGATCCGATCCTGATTCGAACAGGAGCCTCTTGCTTAGATTTCCATGCAGTAAATTATACAAATAATATGCAAGCGTGCTAACCACTGCACCATCAGGTCCTTCTACCACATCTAACACAGCTCATTAGAGTAGGATAATTGAGTTGAACCAAAGTTGAGTAAGAACTCCACCTAGATGAACAGTTCTTCAACCTCCACCTCGTAGTTCAACATACTAGTCCTGTGCTCCTCCTACTCTCCAATCAGCCAGACATTTCTTGTAGGATGAGAGAAAAAATGGTGCTGCTTGACAGTCTGGTGTAACGAAAAGTTGGAAGAGAAAAAAGATGGTAGTAAGTAGTCATGACCCGACCCCGAATTGAACGGGAACTTCCTGCTTATATACACACTACAATAAAGTAAGCAGACGTGCTAACCAGTACACCATCGGGTCGTAGCACTTCCACAGCAACTCACGCATTATAGCAAAAGGAATTGACCACACATTGCCAGTGCCAAATATGAGTCAGAGTGATCGATTTGCCAACAACAGATATCCATTTGTTTCTCCCCGCTCAGGATTATCCTGGGAAGACGAAGGAAGGATGTAGCCGAGAGTAACGTAGCAAAAGTCCAATTCTCCGAGGAAAGGGAATTTTCGAAAAAAAATAATAAGTGAAAAACATATGATGACCTGACTTCGAATCGAACGAAGGCCTCCCGATGAATACCCGAACATAGCCCTTAATTAAAACAGGTGTGCTAACCACTACACCATCAGGTCATGATGATTTGAGGACGCTAGTGGGTTATATGGAATGGATAGAGATGTGGAACCAGAGCAGAGACTCACTTTTGAGGCTCAACTACATTGAATTATAGTGCAAAGATGGAGTTGAACGGAACTGAGAGAGATGTAAATTTCTAGAAGCGAGTCAAGGATTTGAGGGAGGAAAACGAAAAGACGAAAAAAAAGAGCTATGAAGCCTCACGACCCGACCCCGAGTCGAACGAGGGTTTCTTGCTTAATTGCTCTACTCAAGGAGTTTCCATTTAAAGCAAGCGTGCTAACCACTGCACCATCAGGTCATGATGTATCTGGAACATCTACAGGATATGTGTGTATGCCAATGGAAGTTGAAGTGGAACCAGAGACTTTTAAGGTTCAACTACAGTAAATTGCAGTGCAGAGATATAGTTGACCGGAACTGAGAGATACGAAATAGGGGTGCTCAATTCTTGAGCCCGTCTCCCCGTCTCCCATCTCCAAGGGGGTTCAATTCGGCAAATGCCGAACCGTGGGACGGTCGGTCGGTCGCGTCATCAGGCCTTGATTTTTTTTCTGGGAACACATTTTTTTTTGGTTGAAAACGAATGGGAATGTGATTCAACAGCCTTTGGGCACATAAAACCAGGAGATAGTACTCTATCTGACCTGAATTTTCGATGGTAAGCTGGAATTGCCCCCTTCCAAAGCTTTTCACACTTGCATCTCTCTTCCATCCACCATGAGGGCTGCCAAAAACACACAATCACCAATGTAGCCATCTATTTAATACTTGCTACAAGTCCTCAGTATTGTTTGCAGGGTATCGAAGAGAGTTCAGTGTTGAGATGGTTGGATTGGTGGAGTGTCTTTGATCAGGGAGTTGTCAGGATACAATATTCACCGAGATGGGTTACAAAATAATCAAGTCCTTGTGTAATTTGAGACTCCTGTACCGAGTCGCGCAGGATTCCATGTAACTGGCACTAATGGTCAAACTAGGACTCATCGGATTCGGGAGGATTGGTGACGTGCCGAGAGCTTGCCGACAGACAAGGCACGTGGTCTTCATATGGGGATAGAACGGTCGGTCGGTCGGGCCTCCAGCTCTTATTTTCAAAAACCGACCCCTGTTCACTTATTAACAAAAGTGAACACCCTTGCCCATCTCCCCGAGTTTTTATTTGTTCGGAACAAATATAATTTCAAAGTCCGCTTGAAAACACAACCTTTTCCTTTTCGCACTCCTCAATGCGTAGACCACATTTTGTTGTCTACCGAACTGAAACGTACAAGCACTCCTTCGGCACCTGATCCATTCAATAACTTCCCAGTTAGTAGTATTTGTTTACCGCTATCACCACTGGACACGTCGTGGGATGGCTCATCCTCCAGCGCAGTGGATACTATCGTCATGGTGCCTGCGACGGGTGGCATAATGGGTCTGGCGTGCATCTTCATGGTGCAGGGCAGATTTTTCTCGTTCGGGCATTCACGATGAAGTACGCCGTGACAGGCGGAGTTTGAATTTCGATTTGTTCCGAACAAATAAAAACTCGGGGAGATGGGAGACGGGGAGACGGGCTTAAGAATTGAGCACCCCTATTAAATGGCGAGAAGCGAGTCGAGGATTTGAGCGAACGAGAAAAGCAAAAGAAGGTTGAGAAAGTCAATTTTTCCAGAAAAGATCTGACCCCGAGTCGAACGGGGGTTTCTTGCATAGACTTACCTGTCCCTTTACAGTCAACAAGCGTGCTAACCACTACACCATCAGGTCATGATAACTAGGTACATCTATAGGCTATATGTGCACAAATATGTGGAAGCCACACAAGTAGAAGTTGAACCAGAGCAGAGACTCACTTTTGAGATTCAAGTTGCATTTTTGCATTGGGAAGAGTGAAGAGATAAATAAGGGAGGCTTTCAATTGCAATGAGAAGTGAGAACGCAAGCAGTAAAGAGAGAAAACAAACGTAAGGAGGTCAGTTTGAGAGAGAAAAACACAAACGTGAGGTGGGAAGAGACTATGGCCCGACCCCGAGTCGAACGGGGGTTTCTTGCTGAAATTATCTCGCTGGAAAATCTAAACACTTGAAGTAAGCGTACTAACCACTGCACCATCAGGTCATGATACCTTGAGAACAGCTGTGGGTTATATGTGTGCATGCAAATAGATGTGGATGTCAAAAATCGGGTTTAAAGAATGTTTACTCAAGTCTAATTGGAGGCGAGTCTCCCACGCATGCGCTCCGCTGCTCGACACTTACCCGAGCATTCCCACCTGCAGGTCGTAAGCGGAATGTCGGACAATACCCACCACAAGTGTCGCAAGTGGTATTGTCCCTCGGGTAAGCTCTCCCTTGTCCTATTGTGACACCTTATTGACCTCCGCCCCAGCGGCCGGAAGCGAGGTCTCAGATTCATGGTCCAAGCTCAGTGCTTGGGCCCCACTCGGACGCTCTTATACCTGGCGGGACAGAAACAGCTCCACCAGCTTCTTACTCTGTCTCGCCAGGTACGTTTTCCTATATACTACTTACCACATACCAGTCTTACTTACTCTGTCTCACCAGTCTGTTATTATCGCGCTCCCACCCTTATATCTCACATATATTCCCACACCTTTTCTTTCTATCTCGTACATACTCGCTTGTATTGCCATTTCGGCACCCCGCTCGTCTCCGAATAGACTCCAAGCCTCTCTCGAGGCTGTTTCTCGCTAAACCCGCTACCGTGCGATATCAACAAGCTCAACAATTAGGCATGTTGAACCAGAGCATAGACTCACTTTTACTTTTGAGGTTCAAATGCAGTGAATTGTTGTAGGAAGAATGCAGAGATCAGTTCAACGGAGATACCGAGGGATGCTTTCAACGAACGAGTGAGAAAACGAAAGTAAAAAAAAGAAGAGAAAAAGGTAAACTCGAAACGATTTACGACCAGACCCCGAGTCGAACGGGGGTTTCTTGCTTAATTTTTCAAGTTCATAACCAACTGTCAAATTAAAGCAAGTGTGCTAACCGTTGCACCATCAGGTCATGATGAGCTAGGAACATCTGCAAGATATGTGTGTATGCAAATGTGTGGAAGTTGAGGAGTTGGAGAAGTTGAACCAGAGAGTCAGTTGGATTGAAATGCAGTGGGAAGCTAAAGAGAATGAGTTCAACAGGGACATTGAAGGAGGCTTTTAACGAGCGAGTGAGAAAACGAAAGCAAAAGAAAGCAGTAACAAAAATTCCAAAATGAACATGATGACCCGACCCCGAGTCGAACGGGGGTTTCTTCCTTAATTTTGCCATGAGGCTTGGAGATTTGAAGGAAGCGTGCTAACCGTTGCACCATCAGGTCACAATAGCTCAAGGACAACTACTGTATTTTATTTCAATCAGGTCGACAGTCACGCGTCACGCACCCCCGTGTCGGTATCGAATTTTGGTTGAGGTCACGCGTCACTCACAGCTTTATCGAACCAAAAAATCGTGTCATGCAGGGCAAAATCCCCGAAAAACACCAAAAAATGAAATTTTGCACTGGAATTTTCGGAAATTTTCCAGTGGTCACGCAAAAATTTCGGGGTTATCGGATTGTCGAATTAGTCCCGGGTGGTCACGCGTCACACCCGGTGTCGATCTGATTGAAAAAATACAGTATGGCCTTATATATGTATGCTAATGCAGAAGCTAGAGGAGTTGAACCAGAGCAAACTCCCTCTCTTAAGGTTCAGTAAAATCAAATTGAACTGTAGAGATGAAATTGAACGGAACTTAGAGATATAAATCTCTAGAAGCGAGTCAAGGATTCGGGCGAGAAAAAGAAACGAAAAACAAGAAGAAGAAAAAAAATCATGAAGACCTGACCCCGAGTCGAACGGGGGTTTCTTACTGAAATTATTTCGCTGGATAACCTTAACACTTGAAGCAAGCGTGCTAACCGTTGCACCATCAGGTCCCGATACCTAGACAGCAACTGTAGGTTATATATATGGAATGGATGTGGAAGTGGAACCAGAGCAGACCAAAGCCCAGACCCACTTTTGATATTCAGTAGAATCAAATTGTAGTGCAGAAATAGAGTTGAACAGAACTGAGAGATGTCGATATATAGAAGCGAGTCAAGGATTCGGGCGAGAAAAAAGAAACGAAAAACAAGAAGAAAAAAAAATCATGAAGACCTGACCCCGAGTCGAACGGAGGTTTCCTGTTCAAGGACCCTGGATTATCACTAAATTTAAACAGACGTGCTAACCACTGCACCATCAGGTCATGATAACTAGCCAGAAACTGTGGCATATGTGTGCCAATGCCAAATGGAAATTTAAACTGAAGCTAATTAGGGGAGTTGAAAATTAGAGAGTCGGTTGGATTGAAATGCATGAAGAAAATGAGTTCAACAGGGACACGGAGGGAAGCTTTTAACGAGTGAGTGAAAGATTCGAACACGAGAAAGTAAAAAGCACACAAAAAACGTTGGATATCCCATATGACCCGACCCCGAGTCGAACGGGGGTTTCTTGCTTAAATTTTCTGGGTTTCGGAAGGAAACTTGAAGCGAGCGTGCGAACCGCTGCACCATCGGGTCGTGTTGACTTGGAAAGGATGTTCGTGGTATATGTACGAGTACGAGGGAGAATCATTAGGAACTTCGGGGTAACGACTTCAAGTAGCTGTAGGAAGGAGATTTGTTATTTCACCGTGCCGTGCACGCCGTGCAGCCCGTGCACGACGGGCCCGGGGTCGGATCTCGAAAGCCACGAACTCGGGGCTGAATAGCGCTCCTAGGACTTTGGAGGGCTGGGCAAAGAGCCTCAAAGCTTTGAGGAAGCCCCAACGACAGTCGTCACGAAGTAATTAGCGGTTCAGGCCGGGAGCGTTCTGGTTTGTCGGGTAAAATAAATGGAATTGCATCGCGACGAAAGGAGAAAGGCTTTGCCTCGCCAGTCGCAACGAAAGGAGATATTGAACGACGAAACGTGTTCACTGTTTTGCGCCGGCCGCGGGTCGTTGCGGATGACATTGCGGCGATTGCGTGTTGCGTGTTGATCCGAGTCCGAGTCCGAGGGCGCGGCGCCGGCATACAGCGTTTTTGGGGAGTTTTGCGAGTAAGTACTTTAGTAATCGAGGATTGACGACGGGATAGAGTTATTCATATGTCACGGCACCCGGAGGGCGCCGTGGAAGGAACCGTACTGGAAGCAGATAAATAAAGTGGAAGCAGGAAGCAGGAAGCAAGGAAAGTGGAAGCAAAACGCAAAGAAACTGGAAGCAATTTTTTTGCAAAGAATATGCACGGATGCTGACCGTGGACAGAAGCTGTCAATCAATGGATCACCGGCGGTTGATTCCGTCTTGATCCGATCACGGAAGTTTTTTCTACTGTAAGTATTACCTGCCCCTCCTCCACATCCTCCAGGCCAGACAGTATCCTACCATAACCATCCGGAATATCTTTTATATTCCACAAGTCATTGCAGCGGTTTACAGGGCAGCGGACGGAGAGAATTAGGATTCAGGACAAATTCAGGATCAAGACATATATATACGGTTTACCCACGGTGCCAGCGGCAAGCGTACGTTGGCGTTGGGCTGGGCGCCTCGTGGCAGGCAGGCATCTCCTGAAAAAACGACCATCCCTCCCACAGGCCTGCCGTCCAATGGCAATGGCAATGGCTGACCTCGCTGCTGGTGCTGGTCCCGTCGCCGGCGTCGTCGTCTCTGGCTTCGCCAATACTGAGTCGCAGCACCTGCACGAGAGCGGCGTCATTCCCGGTGCGAAGGCGACAGATAAGAAAAAGGGCATGGCGATAGGCGACTTGTTGGCTGTGGAGGATGTGGATGTGCGGGGTGTGGGTGTGGCTATGGACGCTGGAAAGGGCACGGGCTTCGAGAAGGCGAGAGAGGAGTACGAGTGAGTGGTTATTTCGCCTTACATCACAGAATGCGAAGACTTAGACTAAGTGCCGTGACAGTCCTCCCCACCGCCCAAGTTGCGAACCCACCCCCGAGCGGGACGCTGAGTCACAGTGGGCTGGGAAGAGCAGAGGCACGCCGCATGAGGTGAGCGATGATAACCTTTCCTGCTTGTTCTCACCCGAAAATGGAATGCTGATAAAATACCACAGGCCATGCACGCTTCAGCTTCAGCACCACCTGCACCTGTACAACCACCCCCGGAGCGCGCTTCCCCGGGCGCTCTCCACAAGGCTACAGGCGCTCCCCCTAACGTGAAGGGTACAGGTGGATCGTCCCGCGGCACTGGCAGTGATCCCCGCGAATGGATCTACGACGACGCAATCCAAGAATGGAGATATTGCATACCCAGTGGCAGCGGGGACCCTCCGTCGCACCCTCATTCTCACTCTCACTCTGGCTTTGACTCGCGGCCTGCGTCTCCGAGCTCCAATTCGTCGTCGTCGGAGCGTGAGGCACACGCACCCGCACCCGCACACGCACACGGCCCGCCCCCAAGTCTGCGCAAAGTGCTCCTGACGTCGCGTACGGCGTCGCCCGCACCGTCCGCCTCCACCATCAACTCCCTCGTCGGCTCCTCCTCCTCGTCCGTCACCAACTCGTCTCTCGGCGGCGGCGTTAAAGCGCACAACGGCGGCGGCGACGGCGATAAGGCGCACAAAACGGGTTCCCGCGGCTCGCTGAAGCGGAAGCGCGCTGTGGGTGACGACGATGTTGCGAGTGAGGGGCGCGTACCGCGGTTGTTCAAGGCGGACTTTGGGTCGGCGGCGGCGGCGGCGTCGGCGTCCCCCTTCGACGATGAGGATTCGTCCTCGTCTCACTCTCGCTCCCACTCGGGCTCGGGCTCGGAGCTGGGCCGGCGCGGGTTCTTCAAGCGCAGCGCGTCGACGAGTACGCTTGGAGACGCAGCGGGATCTTTCGCCGGCAGAAACTCGGGCAATGAGGGCGCGGATAGCATGAGCATCGGCAACAGCAACGCGGACAGCCTGAGCATCGGCAACAACAACGGCAACGCTAGCATCAGTAACGGCACCGCGAAGCCCGAGTGCAAGAACTGCGGCGCGACGCACACGCCTTTGTGGCGGCGCGGCTTGAACGACGAGCTCAACTGTAATGCGTGTGGGCTGTATTTCAAGTTGGTGGGTGGATTCGATTGTATTTTATTTTTGGGTTTTGCTTCTTGCGCGCTGGTGCTGGCACCGCGCTTTCCATTCATTCATGCGCAGCGCCTTTTCCTTTCCTTTGCCTATCGTCGTTGTCCGTCCTCGTATCGTTTCATAAACGTCCTCCATGAACGACGCGACGACCCTCCTTCTCTCTTCCCCTTTCGCTTCTACCTCCTTCCTACACAAACTTACGCTGACTAACATCCTTCACTCACAGCACAACCGCCCCCGCCCCCGGACGCTGCCCCCCACGCCCGGCGTACCGGAGATCGTCGACGTGCTGCGTGAGTCGTGTTTCTTTCTTTCTTGCTTCTCATCTCTCCCTCTCTCATTTTGCGTCCTCTTCTTCGTCCTTCCTCTTCTTCCTCTTTCCTCTACGCCTTCCCTCCTTCCTCCTCCTGTCATCACTCTGCGACCCACCCTGCCATTACCCTCCACCTCCTTCCTCCTGCCATGTCATCACTCTGCCCCTTTCTATCACTTTACCATTTCCACACACCCACTCTCTCATTCTTCCCTCTCCTCCTTCGTCCCTCCGGCTCCTCCTCCTTCCTTCTCCTCCTCCTCCTCCCTCTCCCTCCTTCCCATCAATCTCCCACTAACAACCTACATACACTAACTCCTCCTCCTTCCAAACTACACTAACACCCCCCCCTTCTTTTTTCTTTCCCCCCCCCCAGCCAAATGCACCAACTGCCTCACCACCTCCACGCCCCTCTGGCGCAAGGACGACGCGGGCCGGGCGCTGTGCAACGCCTGCGGGCTGTACTACAAGCTGCATGGCGCGGCGCGGCCGTTGGAGGCGAGGACGGGGAGGGGGAGGGCGTCGCCTGGGCGGAGGGGGTCTTCCTCGTCTATGTCGGTCGGGTCGGCGGGGAGTGGGAGTCCTTCGCCGGCGTCGGCGCTTTCGATGGGGAGTCCTGCGTTGGGAAGTGAGACGTCTGCGTTGGGGAGCCCTAGCCCACTCTCGCCTGCACTGGGCAGTGAGAGCGCATCCGGCGGCCGCGCATCCCCGAGCCTGAGCCATAGCCTGCGCCCGAGCCGCAACAGCTCCTCCAGCTCGCGCGATAGTGTGAAGCTGGCGCATCCGTACCCGCGCCCGGACTCAAGGCCTGTCTCGGCGCAGGGGCAGGGTCATCATAAAAGCGGCACTGCCAGCCTGATGGGCGCGGGGGGGAAGGAGGTGTTGAGCCCCGCCCCTAGTGTGCCGAGTAAAAGGGAGAGGGAGGGGAGGGACGCAAGGGATGTTAGGGAGAGGGAGAGGGACGCAAGGGACGCACGGGAGAGGGATGTTAGGGAGGAGAAGGATTTGAAGGAGAAGGAGAAGAAACTGCGCCGCGCGTCCGCACCGAGTAAGGTGCCGACGACGGTCACTGTGGCGGGGAAAAGCGGGGTGTCCGCATCTGCATCCTCTAAAAGCGCGTCCTCCAAAACAAGCGCAATTGGAGGAGGGAAAGGCACGCCGCACAACGCCGGTACAGCTACAGGGAAACCCACGCCCAAGACCACACTCCAAGTCCGGAGCATGAACCCGAGCAGCAGCGCGGACGGGAAGCCCGAGTGCAGCAACTGCGGGGCGACGCAGACGCCGCTGTGGCGGCGGGGCTTGAATGATGAGGTTAATTGTAATGCGTGTGGGTTGTATTTCAAGGAGGTGAGTTGGTGGGGGGTTTTCTCTCTTTCTTTTTTTCCCTTGGTGTTTTGTTTGTTCGGCTTTTCTACGGGGCGCGTACGTTTGGGGAGGGGAGGGGTGAGGCGACCTCTTGGTGTCCCCTCGTCTCGTCTCGCTTTGGCCTTTGCGCGTCGTCTCGTCTCACGTCGCTCGTCCCCCTTTATCATACGTGTGCTGACGTCACTTTTCTCTTCGTTGCAGCACAAGCGCCCCCGGCCCAAGACGATGCCCAAGACGAGCAGTAGTGGGATGCGCACGGTGACTGTTACTATCACTGGTAGGCCGCGATTCCGTTAGCGAGGAAGCATCAAGCTGATTGAGTGACTTGCAGCGGAGTGCTACAACTGCCAGGCCACGACGACGCCGCTGTGGCGCAAGGACGACGAGGGGAATACTGTTTGTAATGCGTGCGTCCCTTCCTATGATCCTGTCATTCGGCCTCTATACTCACCACGCGTACAGATGCGGTCTATACCACAAGCTCCACGGCTCCGCGCGCCCCATTGCGATGAAGAGCGACGTCATCCGCCGGCGCTCGCGGCAGGACAAGCGCCGCAGCGGCGCCTCCCCGTCCGTCTCGCAGACGCCCGCCCCCAGCCGTCGTCCCTCCCCCTCCCCCTCCCCCGATCGCCACTCGCGGTCCCGGTCCCGGTCCCGATCGCGCTCGCGGTCCTCATCCCCGCCCGTCCCAGCTTATCGCCGGCCGTCCCCCGAGCAGCAGCACACGATAACGCACTCGCACTCGCACTCGCACTCGCACCACGCGTACGTCAC